GTCAAAAATGACGTATTTTTACCATTATCTGCCTTCATTCAATTAAGCATATCTTAAAAACTACATAATTGTAAATAACAAATTTAATATCAAAATTACGTACAAAGATTCTACTTTTAGATAAAAAAAATTTTTATTTTTTTCCCCAATTTCCGGTCATTTTATTTAATATATAAGGACTAAAAACGATTTTTTGGAAATAATACGACCTTCAATTTTTTTAAAAAATTTAGTAGACATTATTAAACTCTTCCTTTATATTTATAAAAAAAAATTGGTCTGGGACGCGGCCATCTTCATTCTCAAAATCGATAAAAATGTTTAGAAAAGTGTATAAATATTTTCCCGAAAGGGGGCGTCTTTGTATAAAATTATATATTAATTAGTTTTTAATGTTTTTTCTTGGACTATTTGATATAATTTAAAGGATTATTCATCTTGTAAGTGAAAATAACAATAAATGGGGCTTTCATTCAATTATAGAAATTGTCTATCGATAAAAGAAATTCAATTTATTACTTTATTATAAAATTTTTTGCCCATATAACATATACTTAATGAATATTAATAAAATATATTCAACCAAGTTTATAGTTCTTTAATATATGAATCAGAATCTTGTTCATTTCATAGACGCCAAAAATAATATCAAAATTTTCTCTACTCAATTTTTTAAAATAATTTGAAATTTTTAAAATATTACAAATATTAATTTATTATTATTATTATGAAATTATATACAAAATAAAAGTATTATCATAAAATTACCCAAAACAATATAAATATTGGATCGGATTTTCTAAAATCGGCATAGTCTTTCTAAATTAGAATAACAATAAATAAGTGTTTCAATCAATAAAATAAATAAAAATTTTAAAATTGATTAACCCTTTCGCGCCCAGCGAGATCATTTGTCATTAAAATTTTTAATCAATTAATTTTTATATTTAAAGAAACTAATGGTTGGTACTTAGAGATATTAATTTATAAAACAATATTTATTATTTCATATTTTATCATTAACCTGTCAAAATCATTATTTTATTATGTCAAAATGATTATTTTATTATATCAAAGTACAAGTATTTTTTGTTTATGGGAAATATTTCAAGCGCGAAAGGGTTTTATTCATTCAATAACACATACTCACTATATTAATTCATTTTTTAATAAATTTCTTGGTATTTTGATTTCTATCAACACCTAACCCCAAGCCTGGAAAAACTATAGATGAATATACAGTTAAAATTGTACAAGAATTTTATTGTATGGACGAAATAAGCAGAATCATACCAGACAAGAAAGATTGCGTTTCGATTTTGACCAAAGACGGAAAAAAGAATACCATAAGAGATTAATTTTAGATAATTTGAAAAAAATTTATATATTTTTTAAAGAAATGAGGCCTGATGTTAAAATTGGTTTTTCGAAATTCGCAAGCATTCGCCCAAAAATTGTATACTCGTTGAAGGTAGTGGTACACATGTATGTGATTGCAGCTACCACCAAAATTTAAATTAATGATCATTGGATCAAATTTAACCAATGATATGTTGCCCTTTAAAACATACAAACATATTTTACACTTAATAATTTGTAATTCGCCTCAACCATCCATTTATATGGGCAAATGTGATAATTGTCCAGGGTCAACACATTTACGCGATCAAATAGAAATATTGTTTCGTTCTAAGGACATCGAATTTATAACATACAAACAATGGCTATCCGTAGATAGAACCACCCTTGAAACAATAACCAAACCAGTAGGTGAATTTATTAATGCCTTTTTAAAATAAATGGAATCTTTATCATTTTTTTATTTCAACGCAACAATCGTTGTATCAAAACAATCTAAAATTGAACTTAAAGATAATTTTGCCAATATTTGTTGCCTAAATTATGTAATGATATCCGAATCTTTGCAACACAATACAATAGCAGTACATAATTTTAAAAAAACATTGCTAAATTTTTTAATTAATAAAATTTTTTATTTTTCGGTGGATCCGCTGCACAGTACAAAAACGTAAAAATTTTATTAATATTTGCCATCATGAGATGGATTTCGGGGTACAGGCGAAATGGCATTTTTCTGCTACAGCACACGGGAAAAGTGTTTGGGATTGGTGGCACTGTTAAAAGATTAGCCGCTAGAGCTAGTTTACAAGGCCTTACTCAAAGTACACATCATATGAATTGTACGAGTTAGCTAAAGAAAATATTAAAATAGATGACCAAAATAAATTATGATTACGAAGATCTATTACTCAGGGAAAGATTTTCAAAAACTAGATCTATACCTGGAACACACAAAATACACCTTGATTCCAACAGATCTACATAATTTAAAAGTAAAATATATTGCAATTTAATAGAAAGTACTTTGGAATAGTTATCATATAATGATGAAAGTATAATTATTGAAGAAATATCATGATACCTAACTTATTTTTATGATTCTAATTGGTGGTTAGCTTTGTTTTAGTGAAAAATCAAAAGCAGGAAGAAATATATATAAAGTTTCTACACCCATCCGGACCTTCAAATTCCTTTACATTTCCAAGATAGACGACACTCTTTGCTTGCCCAAATGTCATATCTTAACATTAGTTTCACTGTTAATGCTACTGGCCGTAGTTATACTATACATTGTCGTCACAAGAAAGTAAATGCGCTACCGAAAAATTAGAATCTTTTAAAAGTAAGTTTAAATTTAAATTATAGTAATTTTTTTAATATTTAGGGCGCCATATATGAAATGCACAAGATTCTGATTCATATATTCAAGAACTCGAAACTTAATTAAACATATTTTATTAATATTTATTAAATATATGTTATATGGGCAAAAATTTTTATAATAAATTATAAATAAAGTAATAAATTGAATTTCTGTTATCGTTAGACAATTTCTATAATTGAATGAAAGCCCCATTTATTGTTATTTTCACTTACAAGATGAATAATCCTTTAAATTATATCAAATAGTCCAAGAAAAACCATTAAAAAATTATTAATATATAATTTTATACAAAGACGCCCCCTTTCGGGGAAATATTTATACACTTTTCTAAACATTTTTATCGATTTTGAGAATGAAGATGGCCGTGTCCCAGACCAATTTTTTTTTATAAATATAAAGGAAGAGTTTAATAATGTCTACTAAATTTTTTAAAAAAATTGAAGGTCGTATTATTTCCAAAAAATCGTTTTTAGTCCTTATATATTAAATAAAATGACCGGAAATTGGGAAAAAAAATAAAAAAATTTTTTTATCTAAAAGTAGAATCTTTGTATGTAATTTTGATATTAAATTTGTTATTTACAATTATGTAGTTTTTAAGATATGCTTAATTGAATGAAGGCAGATAATGGTAAAAATACGTCATTTTTGACACTTTGAACCCTAATATCTTCAAAAATATAAATGTTAGGAGGCTAAAATTTTGGCTATTTCTTAGTTACATCGACCTTTCTTTGCTTACCAAATTTTAAAAAAATCGAAGGGGGTCGGCCGAAAATCTCATTTTTTTTGCTCATTTGACGTGGAATGACCCTCTTCCATCCTCACCAAAGTCGACAATTGGGATTCGATGCCCATTGCCACTTTCGCTATCTGCATTTATTTTATCAGGGCTAAATGCCCAAAGTAACCTGAATAATATTACCAATTTTAAACAATAATTTATTAGCTAGCTATTAAGAAGTGGGATGTGAATTCCATTTTTCAGGCTGGAATCATTTCATCTTTTACACAGACTGAGATGTTGTCTAACTTTGTAAAAAATGTTTTCCAGTTATAAATTTAGGGTTATAACAAAATAAAATTAAGGTCGAACCGGGTTCAAGCCTAAAATAAAAATGACCGAAAAAATTAAATTTGCGGCTCTATTTCGAGTAGTGTGAACATTAAGAAACATCATTTATTTTAAAGTTTTAAGGTATTATGATCACATGATCGCGCAAATTTTAATTATATATCAGTATTTATGATTTTAAATTTATACTAATTTTTACAAATGAGAAATTAGTTTTTTTAAAAAAAAATTGGATCTTCATTTAAATAAAGTGAAAAATCATAAAGCGTCCCTGGTAAGGACTCGATTACAAAGCGTCTTATCTAGATATATCGTCGTTTAGACGTGTCCTAAAATTTGTATATTTCGAGCGATTCATAAAAAAATTTTGTTTGCTTATTAGTCATATAACTAAATAATTTAAATATTTTAAAGTAATAGATGAATGTATAATATATTCAAAACTACCCTTAACTTTTAATAATGACTACCAAACGTTCATGAGCTCTGGTATGGTTTAACCTATTAAATTTATGTTGTCTATCTGTTTTTCTTTACCCAAAATTCGTCTTTCAAAAAACTTTGGTATTCTACATGTCAACATTTAGTCAAAAATAAAATACTATTTTTAAAAAAAATTATGATGAACGATCAACTCAAATTGTCATGTTCTGAGGAAACAATTTTAGTTTCCTAGGATCTCAATGAAAGTTTCCTTTTCCCCCCCCCAATCCCCTCTTATATGTTTTTTAATATAGTTTTTATATTTGTCTTGTTTTAAATTGTTTACATGTTATTTTAATATTATCTTATATATTATACTATTTTTTAATACAAAAAAATAAAAATAAAGGAAAACATCTTAAAAATACAAAAAATTAAAGGTATTCTCTTCTCTCACTTAAGTTAGATTTTTGGAAATCTAAGATTCAATTTGCACAGTAATGTTTGGATATTAAAAAAGATGGTTGAAGAACCTTGTATTCATATACAAAAAATGGGTTAGACTTATAATTTAATAATGGATGCATCTCATTCTGGAATAAATCTTTGAGATATGTCTAATTCGGGCATAGTTGGGATAGTCCCATTCTAAAAATAGAGAACCAAACATGAACATAGTCTGATTTTCTCTAGCATTAAAATGACCAACTTTCGACATTAGTAATAAGAAATATATAATAAGTAAAAAAAACTCACTTTCTTTAATTCCTTCAACTAGCACTTGGCTCCAAGCACCAGGAGCGGCTCCACAATCTAATATAAATTGATTGTGCGCCGAATCTTGTGTTAAAATATCGAACTTTTTGTCGATTTCAATGAGTTTGAAGGCACTTCTAGCTCTGTAATTCATGGCAGAAGCCATTTTAACGTAGGGGTCCTTCAAGTGTCTTATCATCCATTTGCGTGAACTTCCAGTTAATTTCTGGTTTTTCAAATGAGAATTTTCGTTATTTATATGATTGTTAGCTGTGTGTATTTGGTAAAATTTTTGACTTGGGGGTATTTCTACCTTGGTGCTAGTCTTATTTAAATCAAAATTCATTATTTTCTGTTTGTTGTTAGGTCTAAATTTGAACGGATTCCCTGATTCATTATTTTCCATGAGTACTCGCTCATGATTAAATTCTTCATATATATCTCTTTCGTATGGTGAGAGCGATGTTCCCTTTATTTCGTTTTTGTCATTTAATTTTTCTCCGTTTATCGAAGGTGCGATTGATTCAGCTCCTATAAAACTATGGCGGGGAATAAAAAGTTCTTTGTATTTTTGAAATGATAAAACGTTTAACAAAACTTTAGACGAAAAAGTTCTTGTATAAATTTGGTTGACATGTGTATCGGTTAAAAAATGTATAATCAAATTAGAAGTTAGGTTAAAAGGCTTGAGCATTATTTGGTGACGCCTGTGAGGGCTATTTAAAATAAAATAATGTTTTTATACTTTCATTTTGTATAAAACCAAAGATTAACGGGTTTATGCGAGCATGTGTTTTTAAACAACCTCACATAAAACTTATATTTTTTATTATCTTTATGAGCAATAATTTGGAATTCATTTTTTTTATTTATCAGAAATATATATATATTTGAAAAAACCATTAAATTTGCACTTTAATGATATGGTTTGAAAAAAAAAATGACAAAAACATATTTCTTATTTAAAAAAATATATATTTGAGCAATAATTTGGAATTAATTTTTTTATGTTATATTTTGTTTTGAAAAAAAATTATTTTTTAAAATAAGTATTTCTTTAAACTTTTAGAATCACCTTAAATTTGATATTTTTAATTGATATCAAATTGTCTATAACATCATTAAAATGCAAATTGAATGGTGATTTAAAAATATAAATAGGGGAAACCAGGGTACATTGAGGACAGGGGAGCGCTAGGTCACTCCAATTATAATTTGAGCTATTATTTTATAAAAATTTGAGCCTGACATAGATAATTACGTCATACATAATTGGCTAAAAAGATTTGAAAAATATTTAGTATTTTAATTTTTACAGAAGAAAAGTGTTTTGGCATACCAAAAGTAATAAAATATTTGCAAACTATATCGTTTATATTTATAAATAGAGCTTCAAAAATCGTAATAGATTTTAGGAAAGTTTAAACCTTATTTTTCAATTTAACAAACTTTCAGAATCAATTAACATGATTTTGGATGATATTTATAAAGTTAGTGGGCTCAGTCATAGTTGGTCATAGTATAGTTGGGACACGCCATTTTATTATTTATTAGTGATGAAGAATTACATGCATTAAATTTATATTCAACAACCTCAGTCAGAAAGCTATCATTACTTATAGGTAAGATTTTTTATATATATTTTGTTAGGCATTCCAAAATCAAATTAGCTAAATTATCAAAAAAGAAAATTGAAATCAATTCAATACTTACAATGAGATATTCAAATCATAAATGTGTTTTTATTAAAGTGGAGAAAATTATAGATATTAAAATCCTCCAAAAATTTTTATGGTATTATTAGATTATCATTGTGATAATGTTCTCAAATTAATAATTTTTAAGTATGAAATGAACATCATTTTAAAATACAATGTTTGGAAAAGAAGTTATGAATGAGCTTAAAAAAAATAAGATAAATGTAATCATGGGGAAAGAATATATAAATTAACATTGGTGAGTTAGCTTTTAATATCATAAAACAACCCTAAATAAAATGATGTTCATTTTATACTTGAATTATTATCATTGAGATAATGTTCCCACCATTATTAATAATAAAATGATGTTTATTTCATACCTTATTAACTTGATACATTATCTCAATGATAATCTATAAACTTGAGAACATTATCATTCAGTATTGTGAAAGCTTGTATTTTAAATGATAAGATCATTATCACAATGATAATCTAATATTATCATTATTCACAATAATTAATAATAAAATTATGTTCATTTCATACTTATAATATCATTATTCACAATACTAAATTAATAATAAAATGATGTTCATTTAATACTAAAAAGTTATTATCACAATGAGAATCTATAAACAAGTTAATAATTTATGTAATTGATATTTTTACTAAAAAGTTATTATCACAATAAGAATCTATAAACAAGTTAATAATTTATAAGTGTGAATTGAACATTTTATTATTAATTTAGTATTGTGAATAATTATTTTAAATGAGAATATTATTACAATAAGAATCTATAAACAAGTTAATAAATTGTAAGTATGAAATAAACATTTTATTATAAATTTAGTATTGTGAATCACCTGAACCATTAAATATTTCGAACCCTGTAAATTTAGAAAACACTACCTTACTGGTCTCAGATCACAAGAGACTACTAGTACTCAAAATTATAATGATTCAATATAAAGATAATTTATTTGATATTGAGAATATATATCCATTTCCTGAACTTGTGAGAAATATAGATAACAAAAGAAGGAAAAAATCTGAAATATTTACATCTTCATCCTATAAGAAGATCTATTATCAAAAATAAATAATAAAAAAGGTAGAAACAAAATCTCATAAAAACTTAGATTACCTCTGGGAAATAACATAGGAAATAAAAATAAGTCCAGATTAACTAAATATTAAAAAAATAAAAAATATTTGCATTATATGCTTCCTAAAATATAAAAATAATTATGAAAAGGAAGATTGGTACTAATGCATGGATTGTATTGGGTGGTGGGCACACCAAAATTGTGCCAAATTTGATAATTTTTTCTATGTGCAATATTATTAAATTCTCATCTTTCACTATGTTTATATTAAAAAAAATTTTTCCTAAATTTTGCTAATTTTTATTTTATATAGTTATAAGTTATATCAATAAAATCAAATGTGTTATAGTCTCTAGTCTTAATGGATTACTGATTTAAAATTTTAAAATTTATTTATACCTCTATTTCATGTGTATCCCAATGTACACAGAGTCTGTCATGATTAGGACAAAAAAATTTTTTTTACAATCCAATTTTTAAAAATATATTAATTATTTCAAATAGTACTTTTGTGATTCGGAAGATGTTTTACTTATTCAGGTTAGTCTATTAATATTAAATTATTAAGATTTGAACAAAAAATGTCCCAACCATCCCCGGTCTCCCCTATTTCTAATTTCTGATATAAAAAAATGAATTCCAAATTATTGCTCAAAATAATTTTTTTTAAATAAAAAATATGGTTATGTCAATTTTTTTCCAAAGCGAAATATAATATATAGATATATTTTATTAAAATGCAAATTTAATGGTGATTTCAGATATATAAATTAGAGATCTGCAAAGTTAGGCCTAGCCCGTACTTAGCCCAAATGGGCTTTGGGCCTGGCTCAAGCCTAATATAATATAAAATAATCGAGTTCAGGCTGGGCTGGGTCTAATATTTTTAAAAAAAAATTCGGGCCTGGTGGGATTTTGAATTTTTTTTAAATATTTTGAATTTTTTTTTAAATATATCTAAATTTATCAATTTTATATTGAATTTATGTAAAATAAAAATATTTGATTTTATAAAAATTAATTTCTATATTTAAATAAATTGGGGCCAGGCCAAGTCAATAAGTTTTTTTAAAAAAAATTTCTGGTTCAAAACTTTTTTAAAAAATTTCGGGTTCAGGCCAGGCAGGCAAAACTTTTTTAAAAAAAATTTCAGCAGGGCCGGGCTTGAAAAATTAGGCCCGATGCATAACACTAATATAAATATTTCTCATTTCTGATAATAAAAAAAATTAATTTCAAATTATTGCTCAAATGATTTGCAAACAATTTTTTAAAAAATAATAAAAATAAGTATTATACCAGGATGTATAAAAATACATGTTTGTATAAAACTTTTTATCTTTATTTTTATGCAAGGATATTTAAAATTAGCTCCTTGCATGAATAAAAATATTTTTAAAAAGTTTTATACTAACAAAGGTAGACCTATATATATTTAATTATAAAAGATATCATTCAAATTAAAATAATGTCATTTACATTAGTATAGCACCTCTGTTTGGTAAAATTTACTCCACAATATTATTAACCCTTATTGAATAGGTTATAGAGGTTAACATATCTTTTTATTTTTAAATTACTGATATAAATGTCAGGCAAAAAGACAGTGGTAAAATACCCAAGCACAAAGACATAATAAAAATGTCACATTAGAAAAAAAATAAATCCATTTAAAAAATGGTAATTTAAAATTTTTCCAAAAATTGGAGTATTTTTGTATGTCTTTTGGTCCAGGATATTTATGTCAGTGATTCAGTTTTTAACCTTGCCCATAAAATATTTTTGTTGAAATTATCTGCATAGACCATAATATTTTTAATAAAGAAAAATGACATAAATTAGCCCAATTCTAAGTTTGAATTTTTTTTTTGTGAAATACTGGACTACACTAGTCTGTAAAAATATTTTACACAAGTTGCCTGGACAAGACTAAACTAAGTTACCTGACCCAAAAATGGCCAACATCCATTGGTATCAGACAGAAGGGATAAGCAAAAGGTAAACTAATTTTAAAAAGATCATTTTGCTAGGCCTTTAAAAAGTTTTGTAAGAACCCTAAATGTTTAGGGCTGGTGCCACTGACTCCATGTCAGCTGCGAATTAGGAATTATCACAGCCACTTGATGAAGGTTATATTTTTTTAATAAATCCTTTTATAACATGAAGCTCCTTTATGTCATTATATTTTGGTATGGGAATGGGAGGAGGTATACTGTATTTGTATATGATAATTCCAATTTAGGAATAAGATACAGACACATAAATACCTTGAGATTATATCAATTTATAGAATACTCTTATCATTAAATATTGGCTGATACTTTAAAATTTAACGTATGCTCAAAATGATAACATTCCTAAATTTTAAAGAATTTTTTATAAACATTATGCTGAATTTATATAATAAAATTATAACAAATAAAAAAGAAAAGTGATAAGCTATTCCCAATTTATACAAATAACAGTAGACTGCATTTTGTGCATTCTCTACTATTTCCTATTTTTCATCAAATGAAGTGAATAAGGAATTTAAGGAATAGCTAGAAAATTTATTGCATATTTATAAATTTTCTATGCTGAGATAAAATCCCATAATTTTTTCGTTTTATATTTTGTAACCCTAATCATAACTTAAAATAACTAAATATTTACATATTTAATCTTACGTTAAATAAGTAAGATTAATCGTCACAATGATTAGAAGGCAATTTATCTCATGACTAAAAAATTGAATGATAAAATCAGCTGATTTATTATTTCCAATCAAATGATATTACGTATTAAATATGATGCAATAATTTACCTATTTATTTATAGTAGATATTTCCAGAAAGAACTTTATATTTTAAACTTACCTTATTATAATTAATAATTTAATACACTTAAAGTCAAATTGATTTGGAAGGCCATAAATTATATAATTCCCTATTTGTTTTTTGTTATTATTAATCACGTGCTATTGTTTATTTTAAAATATATATATAATGCGGACTAATTTATAATACGCCATTTTATAATTTTTTTGTTTCTCTCTTCTCGAACATTATTAGAATAACTCTGTACAAAATCAAAACTTTTAGAAAAGAATAAAGTAATTTTTATCTGATAAATAATTTATATATTTAGATCTCTTTTTTTTCTATTAAGAAATATGCAAATCTTTGTCAAAACATTAACTGGTAAAACAATAACCTTGGAAGTTGAACCAAGTGACACAATTGAAAATATTAAAGCAAAAATTCAGGACAAAGAAGGAATACCTCCTGATCAACAACGATTAATATTTGCGGGAAAACAATTAGAAGATGGTAGAACATTGTCTGATTATAACATTCAAAAGGAATCTACCCTACATTTAGTCCTAAGATTGAGAGGAGGTAAACTATTATTTTTATTTGGATTTTACAATATTTATAGGCATGCAAATATTTGTTAAAACTCTAACTGGTAAAACCATAACCCTAGAGGTTGAACCTAGTGACACTATTGAAAATATTAAAGCTAAAATTCAAGATAAAGAAGGAATACCACCTGACCAACAAAGATTAATTTTTGCAGGAAAACAGTTGGAAGATGGAAGAACTTTATCTGATTACAACATTCAGAAAGAATCCACTTTACACTTAGTACTCAGATTACGAGGAGGAATGCAAATTTTTGTTAAAACTCTAACTGGCAAAACTATTACCTTGGAAGTTGAGCCAAGTGATACCATAGAAAATATCAAAGCTAAGATTCAAGATAAAGAAGGAATTCCTCCAGATCAGCAAAGATTGATTTTTGCAGGAAAACAATTGGAAGATGGCAGAACTCTGTCTGACTATAATATTCAAAAAGAGTCCACCCTCCATTTAGTTCTAAGGTTGAGAGGAGGTACATAATGTATTATGTTTTATATTCATTGAAAAAAATTTTAGGTATGCAAATTTTTGTGAAAACTCTGACTGGTAAAACAATCACCTTAGAGGTAGAACCAAGTGACACAATAGAAAATATTAAAGCTAAGATACAAGATAAAGAAGGAATACCTCCTGATCAACAAAGGTTGATCTTTGCCGGTAAACAATTAGAAGATGGAAGGACTTTATCAGATTACAATATACAGAAAGAATCCACTTTACATTTGGTTCTTAGATTGAGAGGAGGTAATTAATGTGATAATAAATTTTATATCTTGCAACCTATTATAGGAATGCAAATTTTTGTTAAAACTTTGACTGGTAAAACAATTACTTTAGAAGTGGAACCTAGTGACACTATTGAAAATATTAAAGCTAAAATTCAAGATAAAGAAGGAATACCACCTGACCAACAAAGATTAATTTTTGCGGGAAAACAGTTGGAAGATGGAAGAACTTTATCTGATTACAACATTCAGAAAGAATCCACTTTACACTTAGTACTCAGATTACGAGGAGGAATGCAAATTTTTGTTAAAACCCTTACTGGCAAAACTATAACCCTGGAAGTTGAACCAAGTGATACTATAGAAAATATTAAAGCTAAGATCCAAGACAAAGAAGGAATTCCTCCAGATCAACAAAGATTGATCTTTGCCGGTAAACAATTAGAAGATGGAAGGACCTTATCAGATTACAATATACAAAAAGAATCCACTTTACATTTGGTTCTCAGATTGAGAGGAGGCTAATAATAACAAATGGCATTTAAATTTAATATTTTATTTATAATTACAATATTACACTTATAAATGCTTAATATATTGTTTTTAATTATATTTTGGGAATAATAATGCCTTTTTAATATTTAAACAATAATTTTATCTCTGAAATAAAGCATATTTTGAAATTTTTTGCATTATATAATTCTTTTTGAATAGTAAATAGAGCTTTTCTGATAAACCTATTAAAATATTTACTCATATGGTGTTAGTTAGCTCGATTTTTAAAAATAACTAATGCAATTTTTAGCCATATATGTGTCTGAAAATTTAGCTCATATGGCAAAAAACGACATTTTTGTATAAATTATTATTTTACAAAATAAATTGCTTTACAACACTACTATTATCTATTTGAAAAAATTATATATAAGTAGTGACTTCCATATATATCTTTTTGGTTCTTAAAGTTTGGTCTTTTTGAGATTACTTATAATCTGAAGCCAGAATAGTAATGTTCTTTAATTAACCAAGCTGTTTTATGTTTAACTGGTAGCTTAACTTTTTAAATAATATTTTGTGATGTTTTTGATCAACTTAATATTCCAACCAAGGTTTTTTTTTAATGTTTCCCTCAGATCAAATTTGAAAAATTATGAAATCCTGCTATTTACTGAAGGTTTTGTTTGGAGTCTATTTTAAAGTTAGAAGTGATTTAAAAGACTGCCAAGGTTCAGTGTAAACTAGACAATAATCCTTTACTATACTGATTTGATTTCATAAAAATAATTTACACATAAATATTATAATGTAGATGTAAGAACAATTTTAATTAATCTTCAAAATACTTTTAAAGTTTCTTATACTGATGCTGCAAAGTAAAACTACATGGCAATATAATTGAATTATTTTATAAAATTAGGTAATTCTAATAGATAATATGAGGTGCTATTTGCCTGACACGATTTGAAGAAAAAATTAATTACTTTCCTATGTTTTGTATTTTTAGACTCGGCTTTAATTTTTTCGAATCCTGTTAACTTATTGTAGTATTGTTAAACAGTCTAGTTTATCCGACTCAGTGTGTAGTCGACTCGTAGCATGAGTTTGCAACCTTGTGGACTAGTATTTCAAATTAGTTATAATTAACAAAACCTTTATTTTAACTTTAGACCGAGTTATATACTTTAGTCAACTAGAAGACTAGTAGTTCTTATGGGCAGAACGGATATTACAAAATTGTATTGTAAAATTATTTGGTCGACTAGATGACGAGTAGTTGTCATGGACTAGAGGACGAGTATTCCAATTTATTATAACATTTTTACTTTACTTCCAACTTGAGTCATGAATATGAGCTATATACTTGAGTCGACTAGAACGAGTGTATTATTGGGAATCGGGAAGATCGTGGCTAAATTGAATCTAGTCAACGATTTAATATATTTTTTAGAATATTTAAGCTTTTGTAAGAATTGTGAACAAACATTATAACAATTTAGTATACACCTTATCCCACCCAGCAAGATGTTTATTAAAAAATTCGTGGGGAGGACGGGCAAAAAATTTTTTAAGTATGGACGGGTTAAAATAATTTTTGACTTTGGGTGGGTGGGTTAAAAAAATTAAAATCATTTAAGTAAATATTAATAAAAATATTGTTCTTATGAACTTTTTCAGGGACCGGAGTTAACCATTATAGACCGTAATAAATATCTGAACCGAACCGATATTATAATTTTTTGAAGGAGTAAAAAGAACCCTTATAAAATAGTTAAACTGGTTTAGATTTTATATTTTAGGAATTATAAAAATTTGAATATAATTATATAAACTTGCTCTTATAGTACTGGCGGTTTCCGCAATACAAGTTTTTGTAGAAAAGGCCTTTTCGGGGCAAAAATTCCAGTTATCGTCACAATGAACAAATATTAATCCATTTATATTAGAAAATATATTGCTTATGCGTTCAAATAATATATTAAAAGATGAGTTATTTTGAATCCTATATATTTTTTTATATATATAATTCATAGATGCTTATAATAAAAATAAATTAGACGATGGTGTTGCTTCAATAAAAAAAAATTCTAACCGTAATGAACCATTATAAACCTTTACAATTAGCTGTACCGAACTGAACCTTTATAAATTTTTTCATAAGAATCGTAACCATAACTTTTTACATACTGAACCATAACCAAACTGAACCGTTATAAAGTTCGGGTCCCTGACTTTTTTGGATATTAAAAATTAAAATGTCCTTTTTTGGTATCAAAATGTTTTTTTTTAAAATAAATAACTTTTTTGTACTTTGGTGGAAACGACAAGAAAGAGATATGACAAGGCTATCAAGATAAGCAAGAAGAATATTGGCAATTACTGCAACTAGTGCTTCTTCTGAACAAGAATTTATCATTGCTGGAAGGTTTTTAGAACAAAGAAGAACGTATTTGAATCCAGAAAATGTTGATTCATTATTATTTTTGCATTATAATTACATATAATATCAATTTTATATTTATATTTTTTTCATAAATATTTTATTTGATTAAACAAAGCAACCATAATTTAAATTGAATATTTTTTATGCTTAATATAGTTATTTCCTAAATTATAAAACTTTTTGTAGAAGTGTAATGCTGAATTTTTATTTTATTAGATGCTTAAAAAATTGAAAGAATGGCCATAATTAAATTTTATAATAGCGGGCTTGGATTAAAATTTTTTTATAAATAATGGGTAAGGGTAAAAAATTTTAGACTAATGGGTGGTTAAGGAATTTTAGACTAGTGGGTAGGCGGGTATATTTTTTTATAAATTATGGGCGGGCGCGTTAAAAAATTTTTAAAAATTGGGTGGGCGGACTTATGGTCCAAAACCCGCCCGATGTAGACCTCAAGTAGTTACTTCTTAGAACTTATACTTACTATGATGTATTATCAGGGCCGTAGCCACGCGGGGGCCCCGGGGGTCCACCCCTCCCAAAAAAAATCTTTGGCCCCCAAAAGTGGCCTCTAAAAATTTTTCTGCCCCCCCCCCTAATTTGAAATTTTTTTTTTTATATTTTTAATATAAATTTTGAATATTTATTCAAAAATTTTCAAAAAACATATCTATTTAGAATTGATTATTTTTATATTTTTAAAATAAATTTTGAATATTTATTCTACAAACATGTCTAATTTGTAAATTTTTTTCCATCCTGTTTTATTTTTACCCCATATTAAATTATCATTCATTCATTTTTTTTTCATTTGTTTTTGTTGTGTATAACATTCTCTATAGGTATCACATTTATATTATAATATATAACCAGTTATTCTATTTTACAGCGTTTATTTTAAAATTATGAAGAAACAATCAGTTATTAACTCTTATTTTAAGTTAAAGTTAAACAAATGTCAAGCAACATCACCTCTACAAACTACTAGTAATACTACATCAGAAATTTCAGAAACTGATTCTTCTTTATTTCATGACTTATATGATATTGATATAGGGCAATACCTATATATTATTATTTCATATATATTTATTTTATATAAGATAAGAGACAGACATTTATTATTAATATTATCATTTTTGTATAATAATTTTAATTATTAAAATAAATATATTCACTCATATTTCAAGATATGAATGAAGCTAATAATCTAGAAAATGATCCTCACTACACTCAGGAGGAGGAAGATGGTAAATAGTTTAAAATTTAACCCAAATTTTTCTATTTATATATTTTTGACAATATAAATAGGAGTAGGAGATTATGGTGTTTCATTATTACATTTTGATTTTAAAACAAATAAAGATGAAGAAGAGACTCAATCATCTTCATCTAGCAGCTCAGTCTCTCATTGTCAAGAGGCAACTGACCATTATTATTTATGACCCTTTCCCTCATTACAATTTATTAATTATAATATTTTTAGTGTCAAAAAAGTCCTCTAATGGTTCAATTCAAATCCCAGGTGACCTTGGCCAGAATAAGCCAAATCAAATAAAATTAAACAATTACGCGAAAAAAGATATTCATGGAAGGCAAAGATCATTTCAAAAATCATGGTATAGAGGCCGAGACTGGTTGGAGTATAGTGTAGAAGCTGACGCTGCCTTTTGTTTTCCATGTAGGAAATACTTGTGTAATCCAAGTGATGAATTTGGACAAACGGGATTCAGAAATTGGAAAAATGCGTTAGCTGCCAAGAAGGGACTGCTAAAACACGAGAGCTCGAAAGCTCATTTAAGTTTAATTACAATATGGCATGATAAAAATCAAAATATAAATAAAAGTACAGAAATAACTAAAATGTTGGGAGGTGATCAAATTAATCGTAATCAATATTATATTAAATCAATATTTGATTTGATGCTATTTCTTAGCATACAAGAGCTACCTTTCCGTGGGACTGTTTCAACAAATATTATGGATGCTGCAAAAGATGAAAACATAATTTATTCTTCTGGGCTATTTATAGCAATGTTTTCCTACACCATCCAAAAAGACCCTGAATTAAATTAAATTATGAAATTTATACCCCAAAATGCCCAGTATACATCACCACAGATTCAAAACGAAGTAATATCCATTATGGCAGATATGGTGCTTGAACATATTTCAGACAAATATAATAAAAGCGAGATGCCTTTTTTTGTCTTAAGGCTGATGAGACAAAAGATGCTTCAGGTTGTGAAAACCTGAGCATAATAATTCGCTATATTTTTTCTGAAGAAATCCAAGAAAATTTAATAGGAATCATTAATTTAGAGTGTCTTTCTGCTGAAAGCATTACAGATTGCATTTTAAAGCAACTTAATGATCTAAATATTAATTCAGCTAATATAATAAGCCAGGCATATGATGGTGCAAACGTTATGTCTGGCCGAAATGGAGGAGTGCAAACACTTCTTCAAAAAAAAATTAATAAAAATGTTCCTTTTAAACATTGCTACAACCACAAGTTGCAAAATTGCTATAATAATATTGTTATTATTTCTAATTTTTTTAATTTATCAAATGCATTTAATTTTTTCAGTCGTTTTAACGTATCCTGTAAATATACAGGCCACACCCTTAAGAGACTTTTAGACCAGAGGTGGACTGGTCATTTAGAAACATCTCGCATTATTTATGAGAATTTTTAGGCTATTGGTGAAGTATTATTTTACTTTTCTAATAGAACTCTTAA